TTGCAGCTACTCATAGTTTCTGAAGGTCGCTCGCTGCATATCAGTGTAGCCTCAGACCTCTTCACCAAGCATGTCATATAAAAGGTTATGTGAAGGTTTTCTCCTTCTACCAGCTTGCTTTATGTATGTATGCATGTTTACTCAAACCATATTTTATGTAAACTTATTAATGTTTCTTTAAACATAGTAAACGTGTTTTTGAACATCAGCTACCTTGAAAAACATGCTAAACATAGGGATTCCTAGCCCCTAAAATACAAACACCTGCTATGAACTTGAGATATAAATAGCTCAAAAGTTGTAAACGTGCTTATGTAAAACATAGTTTGTAAACAACAGATGGTATTTATTTACTAGGACTGTGAAGGCACTGATGAGACTAAAGTAATCTTGAACCAATAGAATGGAACCAAAGATGTCCAGGTCCCCAGTTAGCATAAAAGCATGGCCTGCCCAACTGGCAACCAAGCACCAATCTCCTGGACTCCCTGAGTACTGATCACTGAGCACACTGAGCTGGAGGTGGTCCATGGTGTGCTGATCACAAGGCGACTCCCAACCCCCTGTGTAGGTCGGGGCAAAGATGACAGCCAAGGCAGACAGGGAGACTAGCCAGTCCACAGATGGAGGCAGTGTGTGCCTTCCATGCCTTCCTCTGTTAGCTTACAGAGCCATTTATTTTAGCTTATTGAAGGAAAGTAAATGCGAGTGTGTGCAACTGGGCTCTAAATGTCTGGTTTTATCAGGCACCTCTACTCTGTGACATCCTTGAAATGTGTCTTTACTGTAACCCGAGCTGTGCACTCAAATACAGCACCAAGTTATGCAGTGCCGGACAATTGTCACATCTGTTATAAGGGAAGTGTTGACTCAACTCAGCCCAGGACTGCCACCAAGAGTAAGAGGTCGCCAGAGATGGGGTGGGATCTTTTAAGTTATTTACATTAGCAGTTGGTCCGGAACTTGAGTCAGAGTTAGTTTTGCTTCCTAAAAGTAAAATTGTTTTATTTATTGATATCCTTTCTCTCTGTGTGGGTCTCTGCTTCTGTCTCTCCCTTCTCTTCTCTCATAAGCACACAAACATGTCCACACACCTTGTTAGTCTCAACCCAAGAGATCTCATTTTATCTCCAAGCAGGATACCTTTTTTACATATACATCAGTTTCAGGTGTGCAACCGAATAATTCGACACCTGTGTACACTTCTAAGCGATTACCCCCAAAAGTCTGGTTTACCTTCCATCACCATACCGGTGGCCCTCTTCACACCAAACGGGGTATCTTGAGGGACCTTTCTCCAGTTGTGATCAAGATACTGTTACGAAAATAAGAAAAGTGCATCCTTACTTATTAGTTGCGGTGGAACAGCTCTCTGATGGTCAGTGAGTCTGAGATGAAAGACATTTAACTGGTTTGGATGAATGTAACAGGGAAAATGGCTATGAGGTATGCATAAGGGAAATGCAGTGGATGTGCACCGTGGACAGGTCTTCAGTGCAGTTGCCAAAGGGGACCCCGGCAGTCATTCCATACTTTCCACTGACCAACAATCAGCATGATAATACGCATTTTTTGACTTTCTACAAATGATAGATACCAGAGATTTGTATTATAATGTTCAAATACACAGTCTTGTATACTAAGAATTTATCTTCTTTTTTTGTGTGACAATTTAAAACCTAGATTACAGTGATTTATTTATATATCATGGACATCAGAAGAGTAGCACCCTTTAGTGGTTGATTCATAGCACTTTATAAGTTCTAATAAATGATGTTTTAAAACTCTAGCTGAGACCTAAGTAGATTGGATGGGGGGAGGGGCAGTATATTGCTTTGAATTTGTTCCCACACTCATGATAAGGCTGGGGAATTATTGGTGAATAATTCATAATCGTTCATATCAAGATGAATAATTTTTGCCCTAGTATTGTTTCTCCATCCCAAATATTTGAAGTTATTTTGCCTGTTTGCATTGATTTTGAGAAGAAATTTGGAAGCCAGTTTATACATCTTCCTCTTGTATTCTCTCCTCGGTAGTTTGACTAAAATTTCCCTTGTGTTTCCACAAGTTTCTCCACCTTTTCAGCCTTATCTATGCTCCCGTCTCTGATTATCTTCTTTAGCGGGGCTCAGTCTGAAGTGCTGTGAGGGGGCTGGCATTCATTGTGTGACTGTAAGTCCATGTACCTCATGCTGGGTCTGAAAAGTATATTTTACACATAAATGACTTGTTTTTCTTCAAATCAGCAAAATAATTTCTTCAAACCAGCAAGGATTCCAGGAGCTAATTTGAAATGTATAATCCTTGTATAGAGCTAGCTCGGAAAACATTTGTTGCAGACTTGTTTAGTCCTACACTTTCTTTTGCTTAAGTACATTTATGAGAACAGCTCGTATGAGAATAGTTCTTTTTCTCTGTGTGTACTTTTTTTATAAAGACACTTAATATCACCCCGTTTACTGACATAAGGAGTTAATTGTATAGATTCTCTGAGACTTGGTTATTTACATATTGAGTACCTGTTCTCCAAATATTTGGTGAAATGTGGTAAGTTATTTTAACAAAGATTTGTGACTGTGGCGTTGTCATTACTTTGTTTTCTTTTGCTTGCTCTATTTTAATATTAAACGTGTGTTACCTTTCTCCTCTTCCCTACCATATCTTTCTCGGCACCATCTTTTCACTGCCATCTACACTCCCTCTGCCTGCCTTTCCAGGTAGCAGATCTTTGGTAATTGGTCTGTTACTCTGGGAACTCTGACAGTTGCACTTAAAATATGTAACGGTTCCCTCTCCTACATGAAAAAGCTGTAAAACCTCATGTGAAATAGCTAAGGGAACATATTTGGCAGGAGGGGAGAGGCTTTTGCTCTTTCAGGCACCTTGCAAAGGGGACTATTTTTCTTATATGATATAAATGAAATCTTCACTCTGCCCACTTTTACACCTACGCATGTACTGAGCGTCTCCAAGGAGACAAGGAAACCCTGAGTCCAGTGATGGTAAATCCTCCTCCGAGATAGCAGGCTGGAGCCTCTATCTTCTCCCAGGCGACTTGGCTTCCAGAGGCCCCTCTCAGACAGCCTCTTTTCTTGAGGCTCTTCTCAAACATGTCTCTCCCTTCCCAGATGAAATAGCCTGTATATTACGTGTGAGAGGCTGGTTGAGGTGAGTTCAATAGGCAGAAGGCCTCCCTGGGACAAGACGGGTGGGTGCAGGAGGCTGTGGGATAGGAGGGTTCCATCTTCCCCAAGGTCTTTTCTTTGTTACTCATTTATTTGTGCTTCTGTTTCATTGCCTCCCTTTGTGCCTCTTAGATAAAAAAGCACCACTCAACCTTACAAAGTGTCTTGAAAATATTCTTTGTAACGGTAGTATAGTTACGAGCTTAATTTAGTGAGATTGTCCTGTTAGGAGAAGCACTACTCTTGCTGATTCTCCAATTAATGTGTCTGTTTATGAACCATAATCCTCTGGCCACTCTATTTTCCGTCTCTCCTGGACTAAATGCACAAGAACCCCATGCCTTGTTAGCTTTCCCCACTCCACCGTGTCACTGTAAGTTTTTGTGAAACGATACACAGTATTTTCTTATATAAATGAAGTCTCTGCTATACCTGAGGACCATGTTATCATTGTAAGTCCATTACACACATTTCCTAAAATTGTGGTACCAGATCCTTTAGATACGTTGGCCATGTCTATGTGTGCATCTTCTTTGAAGCCCAAATAATTCGTTACCATTTGGAAATCCTTGTTGGTGTAATCACTAAGAAATCTCATTTCCCTCTAAACTCTAAGCACATTATTTAATGAGCATTCTTGGGGCCTCTTCCATGTGTGCATTCATGGTTCTCAGCTGAATTCAGACTCAAATAACCTAACTTCTCCTGAGGTTTTCTAGCACAATGTGTGCAAACTTCAGTTTTCTGTATTAACCCTGTGCTGCCTTTGCAAAGATGTGGCTAGCTAGTATTCCTGTTCAGTTCTTTGACAGTGAATGGCCCCATGAGGGTTTACTGATGACACTTTTTTTTCTTTTTTGTTTGTACTATTAAAGAAGATTGATCTTAATGTATAGTACAGGGAATATTGTCAATAATATTGTAATAATCTTGTATGGTGACAGATGGTGGCTAGACATAGTGTGATCACATCATAAGGTACATAAATGTAGACTCACTATTATGTTGTACACCTGAAACTAACATAATATTGTACGTCAACTATATCCGATTAAAAACAAGAAAGATTGGTCATTCATACGTCTGGCACTTTGGAGGACTCCCTTGTTTTCCTTTTGCTATCACTTCTCCAATTACTGCCTGTAAATAAAGCCATCTATAGCATAAGCTTGAAAGAGGCATTTGTAGTAGACAGACCAGTGGTGTCCAAAGTACCTAACATACTTGTAAGGGCACTTACAAGTTCACAAAATTTTTTCGTACATAGCCCGCCGAGGTTATCCTCGGTACAACTCGTCTGTTTGGATCTTCCTTCCCAAATAACTGCATTTGGTGCGTTGCTTAACTCTTCCTTTTTATTTGGACTCAGATGAGGTAAAAGCATTACTTTGAACTTGTTCGCAAGTTCCCCCAAGAAGAATTGGAGGAGGGTGAAGGAGCCTCTGAAAAGAGCCCTTTATCGTCTTCTAAGTTTCTGTCTTTGTCCAGGCCCTTCCTGGCTTCTCGCTGCCATCTTTCCACAAAGCCCTAATCATTCACACTCCAAGTTTTATGTCAGACTTTTTGTAGGAATAAAATGTCTGCCTAGATGGGTTGCTATGCCTAAAGAACCCGCTAAAGCTAAGAAAATGTAAACAAATTCTGGAAAGTTTTCCAACTTAGACTGGTGGAAAGTTTGGTTTGCTGTTTTATTTGCCTGGAAATGGGAAAGTCAGGATCCTGTTCTAAAGTGCACTTTTTGGAGTCCTTTTGTGAAAGAGACCCCGAACCTGTGTAGTCACAGACATGGTTTTCTTCCATTTTTCTTCGCAGGCACTTCAAGTGGCGAGACAGCTCCTCCTGCAGCAGCAACAACAGCAGCATGTTAGTGGGTTAAAATCTCCCAAGAGGAATGACAAGCAACCAGCCCTTCAGGTAACACTTCTTCTAAAAAAAATGATATTATGCACTTTGGGATAGCTGATAAGCAATTGAGAAGTGGACTGGATTGAGAATTGCGAATCGTGTAAGAAAATCTTCTGCAGAAGGTACATTTGCAGTTTACCAGCAGCGTATGACATTTTATGGAAAATGGCTATGTAACCAAAAGTTTTGCTGTTGGGAGTAAGAAGATCTACTAGTTAGTCCGTATAATAGGAAGATGAGTAGTTGCGGGTGGGGCTGCTTAATGGTCCATGTATATTACCACTAAGAAAAAGCTTATGGTACTCAGAGTGTCACCTCATTCTCTATTGATGGGTTCTAGAAATTCTCTCATGTTGGGATACACACATGTGTTACTTTAGTGCAGTTCCCAACTGGGGAAGATTTCTCCACCCCACCCGTGACAATGGGCAATGTCTAGAGACATTTTTTTGGTTGTCACGACTTGGGGGGTCATGGATGCTACTGACAACCTAGTAGGTAGAGGCAAGGGATGCTGCTAAACATCCTACGTTGCACAGGGAAGTTCCCCCCAAACACAAAATTATTCAGCCCCAAACATCAGTAGTGTCAAGAACAGCTGTTGGAACTTCAGAGGACATGGTGCTTCTAATATGCCCAGTCGTGAGTGTAATTCACACTGCTCTTTGGTGGATGTCTTTAGCATTCTTCTGAATCACTAATAAAAAAATGACGAGTGATTTTTATGCGAAGATACAAAGAAAGATTGTTTTAGTGACTTCTCATTTTAGGCACATGAGGACAGGGGTTAACAGAGTAGAAGGAGGAGTGAGGTCATAAAAATCTCATTTAGATTATCTGTTGGACTAGAACAGGGGTTGGCAAACTTTTGAGACGGAAGAACCGCCAGGGGTCAGCAAACTGTGGCTCGCGAGCCACACGCGGCTCTTTGGGTACGTACATGTGGCTCTGAAGTAAAATTGAAAATGAAAATAAAACTGTCATAGTTTCATTTATAATATTACTTTAACTTTTCCTTATTTGTAAAAATATATGTATGGCTCTCAAATAATTTTTAAATTGTTGTGAGGGACAGGATTGGCTCTTCCAGGGGTCGGCAAACTTTTGAGACGGAATGTACCTGAAGAGCCGCATATGGCTTGCGAGCCGCAGTTTGACAATCCCTGGCCTAGAAGATTGTGATGGAAACTTCAGAGAAGCTTGACTCGGGGTATTCACACTGACATCCGAGACAGGACATTTGCAGGGAGGTACTGGGTGGCTCGCTGCTCTCCTCGCCGAGGGTGAGCATCCCAAAGTGAAGGCTAACGTGAGTTTCTCACAGTGGACATTTGGGGATAGAATCTAGAAACAGTCACTGATGGACACAGCTTGGTGCTAGTTAATTCGATCACAAGGTTAACCCAGATTCTGGATTGTGTTGACTTCTCGCAGATCAGAGTGAACCAGCACCCGTTCCCACATTATCCGACAAAGATCAAATTGATCTTGGGCAACAAACTTCTAGTTTTTCTACATCGACTTGAGAAACCCTCACTGTTGAGGCAGAGTTCAGCACTGTAGCAACACTTGATTGGAACAGTTGAGTGACAATGCACATTGCTAACTAATACTTCCAAAAACACGTACTTGGTAAACCATCACCAATCCATATGCCTTTCAACATATGTGAATGCTAGGGACATTTTTAATGAGGTACAGTGCCAGTGAGGTCCCATGTCAGGTGCTATAAGAAGTGCTTTGTTGTGCAGATGTCTTAAGAACAGCTCTGGAGGATGAAATATGACTGTGTTGACCTTTAAGCTGTGAGCTTATTTGTCAGGATTCAAATAAGTTGAAAGGATCAAACTGAACAGTTTCCGCAGTCAGACTGGGAATTGTGTTTCAGAGGTCAGCAGTGGAGGCCACATTGCAGATTCCAGAACATAGCCAATTGTTGGTACATATTAAAGTGCTGGGGCATCTCCTGCAGACAGAGACACAATTAAAATTCTAATTTATTAATGTATACAGGGAACGAGCCTGGCCTGTCACTCAGGAATTCAAATGACTGTCCATTCTTATGCCTCCCTCCTGGAGCTCTCGCAGTCTCAAAAATACTGAGTCCTCTTGAATGTATCAGGCCTCAAGTGCATTGGAAAAATGACAATATATTATTGGAGGCTGGAAATCTTACACATAGTAGAGCTTTGGCTGGAGATGAAAAAAAAACGGTACACACATACACAATCTGTCTGATACGCTGCTCTTCAGTATTGAATATCATTTGTAATTTTTTTATACTAGAATGATTTCCCCCATACTTGCTTTTTAAAAACATATGGCATTTTTAGGTAACTTCTTTTCCAAGATGAACGAAGTTCCTTAAGGGCTAAATATATGAAGTAAAGTTTCAGGGGATTTCCTTCTGAGGCCTCTTTATCTTCTTGCCCGTTGTAAGGTTTTTAGCCACCAGAAGAGTATAACACAGAGAGCTTCATTTTTCTTGGCAAGGACAGTGTCAAAACCAATCTAACACATTCTGCTGAGCACTTCAGTCTGCATAAAAAGTGTGGGACAAGGGGGCCATCTTGAATGCTGGTTTTGCTAAAGAAGATGTTTTGGGTCTCTTCCTACCTCCTCAGCAGGAGAGTTAACAAGCAGAGAATTTAGACCAGTTTTAAGAATTGATTGGGATAGAAAAAAGAGTTGGTTGACTGGTGTGTGTGTGTGTGTGTGTGTGTGTGTGTGTGTGTGTGTGTGTGTGTGCGCGCGCGCGCATACATATATATATACACACAAACGTGCATCATAGACTATATCTCCTCAGCTGCCTGGTAGGGTCATGCAAATTCACTAACTTTTATTATGTTGACTGGCCTTCCCTAAACAGAGAGGAGAAATTACTAACCTAGGTTACATGGTATATTACCTCATTATAAAAATATGTATACAGATTCGGTGATTCGTGGAAGGTATAACCACATTTAAATATGTCTTGCCATGCCATGTCTTCACTGGGGCATCTCGGCTAGAATGGCTCTGAAACGAAAGGGAAACCCTATAGTAAATCTTAACAGTGTTCTTTTCTGGTCTTCTTACCCTTCATAACTATACTGAGAGACCTATTTTAGCAAATTTCAGATCCTGTGCATAGAGGAAGGCTTGACAGGGGAGAAGGATTTCATCTACCGATAGCTTGAGGAAAAAATTGAATCCCAAATCCCCACATTTACTGTGACTCATATTTTAAGCATATCTCACACTTCCCTGCTTTATGTTTGGCAGCGCTCTCCAGTTTCACAGGCTGATGATACAAACAAAAGAAAATGGAAAGTTAGAGGAGGTTATAAGTGGTTCTCAATAGAGATCACAGAATGTACTCAAACGTCACCAATTTGAACTAACTTCAGGGCGATGAGAGTAAATAAGAGAAATAACATTCTTTGCAGATACACATTTTAAACTAAACCTGAGCTGGCCAAATTCTTGGGTGGCGATGTGGTTTATGTAAAGGATTAATTGGGTATACATGTTGCTTCTGAAGGTCTTGAAAAATATTCTACTTAGTAACTTAAATAGCCCCTTATTTAGTCTATTAATTTGCTTTGCCAATTTTTTATGAATGATACACATGAAAATTGAAAATTAGCCTCATCGTAAATTCAGGATCAGAATGATCTGAATTAATGAGATGAAACTGGAACATTTCTGGAGTCGCCACCGCATGCTGGGCACCTTGGTGATGCCAACAGACGTGAAACTGGAGGCCACAGCCTGCCTTCAGAATGCTTGGGAGCTGTAGAGACTTAACAGGGTTTGCTGCAAAAAAGAAAATTATGTGTAAGTAAAAATAGTAGGTTTACTTTTATAAATATTTATATATTTCTGAAGATTGCTTAAACAAGTGAAATAAATGCTTAACGGTGCAGGTGTGCTCATAACCTCAAAAATGTGTGACTTTTCTGGCTGAAGATTAATTTGTGAGTAGATGAGCAATTTTATTGATCAAATTTTGGAACTTTGACCACCGTTTCTGGGTAGTAATTCATTTTGGTTCTTTAAGCATTTTAGTTGTTGGCATGAGTACATAAACTGGAAGGAAATCAAATGACACATTTTCTCCTAAGAAAGTAAAAGTACGTGTGTATTCTGGCAGCATAAAAGTTGGGAAAGAAAGTAAACCCTATGTGTTGCTTACAGTGGAAAGCTGACCACAAGTTCAGGCCATCTATAAAGAATTTGAACTTGAAACCAATCATCTGATAGTTTTCTCTTCTGTCTATCTTTTCACCTCTTTCCAAGGTCTTATCATGTGCACGCCCCTCACACAGTAAGTAGGACACTGCCCTGGAAGGAAGGGTGGTGAAATCCACTGGAAGGTCAGCCTTTTAGACCTGCTTTAAGTGGAGGAGGTTCAAATACAATATCCAGCAGGTGTTTTTAGCATTTTTATTTGCAGTTATATAAAACATGCTTAAGGCAGCATTTTTGCTTTGCATTAATGCCACATAGAATCTTAGTACCTCGTATCATTTGCACCTTATTCACCAAGGAATAAATGGGTAAGAGGAAACCTTTAAAGGAAACTACAATTTTATGATGTAGATAGTGAAATGGAATGGTTTTGAAATACTGACCCTTAAAAAATATCCTTATGCACTGAATTAGTAAAGTGGGTAATTCAGGAGAAGGAGGCAAATAATTTTTTTAAAATGTCTATAGAGTTAACATTGTCTAGAAATGGCATTCTGGGCATTAAACAAAGTGTTGAAATTTCAGTACCTTTTAAGATTTCATTGTTATCCCCTGACTTTGGAGAGTCCCAAAACCCTAAAAAATAAGTCTTGAGAAGAGACAATAAAATAGAAATGATGCTTTAGAAATGCTTAAGTCTTTCAGATTACACACACCATTAAGAAGAAGCACTGGCACTCAGAATTTTGCATCCAGCCCTAAGGGCTTCGTGAAGCCCCAGAAGTCTGTTTGTTGCCCTGGTTAAATACTCTTGCTTTAAGAATTTTTTTTTC